AAGCCCGTATGGCTCATGCGCGCTCCATGTTGCGCGAGCACATACGGAAGCAAAAAATGTGCTTGCTCCACCTAAGGAAGCGCACTTGCGCGCTGTGCTGCTTGCTCCTGTTTTAGGAGTCTGTCTACAATGTATCGATGGTTCGTTGCGCTGCGTTACGCTCCTACACGACGTATTGTTTTATGAGCTTAAGGCACATTATAATTTAGTAAAAGCTAACCTATTCTTTTGTTAATAATATTGGTGTTCTTGTCGTTCTTGAGTTGTTTAATGTCTTGTGAATACTCTATTAAGAATCATAGGCAAACATGTCTCGCTACGTGAAAGTTGTAGAAAACAACGTATCTGTGAAATTGGAGGTTACAAATGGAAAGTTGGAATTGTCAACGTTACATTTATATTTTCCAGAAGCAACGTCATTAACATATATACAAAACGGCGATGTGATAGGGTTATCCATTAAAGATAACAAAATTGTCCTTGACAATAACATTGACGAATATCAAGTATTTAATCCGAGATTTAATCCTTCGAGTAACACTAATAGTAAGTTTATACTCGTATGGCTACATATAAATATTTCTCGAAATAAATCGAATAAATCGAAATCGAAATAAAAATAAAAACAGTAATAAGTAAAACCCAATTAAGATGTTGTAAACAAAAGAATAGGTTAGCTTCTACTAAATTATAATGTGCCTTAAGCTCATAAAACAATACGTCGTGTAGGAGCGTAACGCAGCGCAACGAACCATCGATACATTGTAGACAGACTCCTAAAACAGGAGCAAGCAGCACAGTGTGCAAGTGCGCTTCCTTAGGTGGAGCAAGCACATTTTTTGCTTCCGTATGTGCTCGCGCAACATGGAGCGCGCATGAGCCATACGGGCTTCCGTTCGCACTCCCGCGACCCGCGACCGGCGCGACCCATCCCGCACCATCTACACACAGATTCTTTCCCTTTACAAAGGGGTGTATTCCGCAAATGCTGCCAGCAGTTCAGTTACGTAGGTCGTGGTAACGCCGCATAGTCGGGCGGCGCTAGCGTCAACCTGTACTAACTGTCGGTGGGTTCCGCATGTCCACAAACTCCGAAATATCAGATGGCATGGGAGTGATGGGAGCGAAAACAGTAAAAAATATCAAAGTTTGTTGACATGCAGAACCCACCGACAGTTAATACAGGTTGAAGCTAGCGCCGCCCGACCATGCGGCGTTACCACGACCTACGTAACTTAACTGCGTGCAGCATTTGCGGAATACACCCATGGTGTACGTTTGGCCTTCACTCGCGTGGTGGCGTGACATCACTCGCTTATAGCCGAGTGAACTTCGAGCGTTCATTGAAAATTCGGGGGAAGGAACTACGTTCACTGGGATTTTCTAGTGAACGCACTCGTACTACTCGTAGAGCCAAAGTGATACCTAATTACATATTGGTATGTGTGTATTTAATGTTGAACTTGCATGGTATAAATATTTTGAGGTTAACAGCTACCTTAATAATATACTAGTTATGAAAAAGTTTTATTTCGTATACATAATAATTATTACTATTCTACTAATGGAGAGAGTACTAATATAATATTATTGGGTAAAATGTGAATGAATGAAATAATCATGGTACTAAATAATAAGTAGTTTATTAAAGATTGGATTAGCTTAATACAAATACATTTATTATTTCAGAACAATAAGCTCTGTTTAATACTACTTATAAATTAACCTAATGTGTAAAAGAAACAAGTAATGTAACCCAACATTTGTATCAAATCTTACAAGCTTATTCTAAACATATAATTTTGGGTCAGCAGTAAAAAAAGTTATATTTGTAAAAATTTTTAATATTTTATTTGACAAACTACATTATTGCTATCACAAGGCAAAGAGAACTTGAGTGTAAAAAGTCATAACATTTAAAATTTTTTTCAAGTCCTTGGCCTAAGAGCAAAATATCACAGTGACCAAATACAGGTATTTGATGGGAGTGATTACAACTACTACAGCCAGCGTGGCTGAAATTTTGTGCAGGTAAGTTGACAAAAAGTTTCTAAGTGCTCAATTAACTTGTGGTACCCAGACAAGAGTGCACGAAAGGATTCTAGAGCTGTCAACATCGGTTTGTGGGACTACCCACAACCTCACTAATCACCATGTAAGCCAGTTGTAGGTATCTGAATGTGCATACTCATCTAGACCCTAGAATACAAAACCAAACTGAATACAGCAACTATTTAAGTAACTTTTCTGGTCCAAAAGCTACATTGTCATGAATTGAAAATGCATTAACACTGCTTTCCTAAAGATAATGCTAAAAAAAATTGCAGTAACCAGTTTGGTGTTATATGAATACTCAGATGCCTACAACTGGCTAATACAGTGATAAGGAAGGTTGTGGGTGGTCTCACAAACCGATGTTGGCAGCTCTAAAATCATTTTGTGTACTCTTATCTGGGTACCACAAGTTAATTAAACACTTTAAAACTTTTTGTCAACTTGTCTGCACAAAATTTTAGCCGCACTGGATGTAGCTGTTGTGATCACTCCCATGGAACACATATATTTGGTCACTGTGATATTTTGCAGGACTCTCAGACCAAGGACTTAAAAAAAATTAAAAATTTTATAACTTAATTGTTACACTCGAATTCTCTTTACCTTATCCCAACTATCAAAATAGTATGACAGTTACTGTCATCATAAGAAAGGACATAAAATTTTACTTCCTAGCTACAAATTCTAATCTCCCTTGATCGCTATAGCTACACAACAATGTAGTCGTGAGTGAGCTATAATAATACAAACATCGATGATTTCAGTGAAGGTTAGGCTGTCACTTGGCTCTACGAGTGCGTTCACTGGAAATCTTAGTGAACGCAATTCATTCCTCCTAATTCTAGATGAACGCTCGAAGTTCACTCGGCTCTACGAGTGCGTTCACTAGAAAATCCCAGTGAACGTAGTTCCTTCCCCCGAATTTTCAATGAACGCTCGAAGTTCACTCGGCTAAGCGAGTGATGTCACGCCATCACGCGAGTGAAGGCCGAACATACACCATGTTTGTAAAGGAAAAGTATCTTTGTGTGTACATACAAAAAGACCTATTTAGTTTTTTTGCAAAAGCTGACTTACTGATAAAAAAGAGCAGTATATCTGAGAAAAATACTACTGTAACAATGATTGCAGTATCACACAGAGGCACCTTAAGAGTTCTCGCAGAAGATGCTATTTTAC